TACCTATTTTATTGAGAGTTTTTATCAGGAATGGGTGTTGGAATTGTCAAATGCCTTTACTGTGTCAATTGAGATGATCATGTGATTCTTTTCTTTCCTTTTATTTATGTGGTGAATTACATTGATTGATTTTCTAATGTTGAACCATCCTTGCGTAGCTGGTATGAATCCTACTTGGTTGTGGTGTATTATGTTTTCGATATGATGCTGAATTCTATTGACTAGAATTTGTTGAGAATTTTTGCTTCTATATTTGTGAGAGATATTGGTCTGTAATTTTCTTTGTGGTGTCTTTGCCTGGTTTTGGTGTGAGTGTTATGCTGGCTTCATAGAATGAATTGGGAAGTGTTGCTTCCTCTTCTATGCTCTGAAGTAGCTTGAGTAGTACTGGTACAAGCTCTTCTCTGAATGTTTTGTAGAATTCTCCAGTGAAGCCATCTGGGCCGCTTTTTTTTGTTAAAAGTTGTTTCTATTACCTTTTCAATCTTTTCTGTTGTTATGGGTCTGTTCAGATTTTCAACATCACTTTGTTGTAGTTTGGGTAGGTAGTGTGTTTCTAGAAATTTGTTCATGTCCTCTAGGTTTTCAAATTTGTTCGAGTATAGTTTTTCATAGTGCTGTGTTATGATCCTTCTTATTTCAGTTGGGTCTGTTGTAATGACCCTCATTACATTTCTTATTTGTGTTATTTGCATCCTTTTCTGTTTTTCTTTTGTCACTTTGGCCAGTGGTTTGTCTATTTTGTTGATTCTTTCTAAGAAGCAACTTTTGGTTTTGTTGATTCTGTTGTTTTTGTATTCTCTATTTCATTTATTTCTGCTCTGATCTTTATTATTTCCTCTCTTCTGGTGGCTGTGGGCTTCTTTTGCTGTTCTCTTTCTATTTGTTTGAGTTGTGTAGCTAATATTTTGACTTTGTTCTTTTTTTCTTTTTTGATGTGTGCATCTATTGCTATAAAAATTGACCTCTAAGCATGCCTCTGCTGTGTCCCAAAGGTTTTGGTATGATGTGTTTTCATTCTTGTTTGATTCTAGGAATTTTTTGATTCTATTTTTGATTTCTTCTATTACCCAGTAGTTTTTAAGCAGGATATTATTCATTTCTATGTATTTGATATTTTCCCCTGCTCTTCCTGTTATTAATTCCTACTTTGATGACATTGTGATCAGAGGAGATTCTTTGTATTATCTCAATGTTTTGGATTTTTTTGAGGGTTGCTTTGTGGCCTAAGATGTGGTCTATTCTGGAGAACATTCCATGTGTACTGGAAAAGAATTTGTGCTTTTCAACTGTTGGGTGGAGTGTTTTATATATGTTTATGAGGTCAAGTTGGTTGACTGTGGCCTTTATTTGTTTTGTATTCTTGTAGAGTTTCTTTCTAGATGTTCTGACTTTTAGTAACAGTCGTGTGTTGAAGTCTTCTACTATTATTGCAGAAGTATCATTTTCTCTTTTCAGTGCTGTTAGAGTTTGTTTTATGTATTTTGGAGCCCTGTTATTGGGTACATAGATATTTATTATGGTTATGTCTTCATGGTGTATTGTCTTTTTAATCATTATATATTGCCCTTCTTTGTCTTTTATGGTGGATTTTGTTTTAAAGTCTGTTTTATCTGAGATTAGTGTTTCCACCCCTGCTCTTTTTTGATAGTTGTTTACTTGATGTATATTTTCCTTCCTTTGATTTTTAACGAATTCATGTCTTTTTTTCTACGGTGTGTTGTCGCAGCAGTGACGGTAATCTGGACGGCGAAGACAGTAACCAACTGCACAACTCTTACAGAGAAGTGGGGCCAGGAGGGTCACTCTGAGGAGTCGACCCCCACTTCAGTCCCAGGAGTTTATTTTATAGTCAATACAGCAATCAATAAGGCAATTAACAAAACAATGGGCTTTGAATGCGGGCAAGGGAGAAGGAATTCAGGTAAATAAGTCAATCTGTAAAGGGACAATAGGTTTGGGAAAACACATCCGGACAGGTTTGGGAAAACACATCCGGACAAGTCTCGACATGTTGGAGACAAGTCTCAACATGCTGTGCAGCATAGAGGCCTGTGGGGGCTGCAGTTGTCAATAGTGCAGCCATGTTTAAATGGCATATATCCCTACAGTGTGTCTCTTGTAGACAGCATATTGATGGATCCTTTTTTTAAATCCAGTTTGTCACTCTGTGTCTCTTTATCGGTTCATTTAAGACATTTACATTCATTGTGATTATCGATAGGTGTGTTTACTGCTATCATTTTATATTGCTTTTCTTTTTGTGGTACTAACGATTTCTTAGTTTCTTTTACTCTCCTGTGCTGAATTCCTTTTGTTTGTGGATTTTTTTTTTCATTTCTTTTGTTTTTGTAGATTTTGTGTTTACTGAGACTTTATTTTTTTCTTTTTCATTTTGATGAGTGGGTTTGTTAACTTTCTTTGTGATTACCTTGAAATTTGTCCCTATCTTCCTAGGTTTAAACTATTCTTTTGTTACTTGATAACACCTTGACTTCCTCTCCATTTGAAAATTCTATACCTACACAATTTATTCCCTCTTTTATTTTTTGATGTTGTAATTTACAGATTAATGTCTCTGGTTCCCTTTTGTAAATTTTTTGTTTTGTTTTATCCTTGAGAATTCATTATGTACTTTGCTAACTGGCTGATGCCATCTTATGTGCTAGATTCAGGCTGTTGGCTGATGTGATTGGTTCTTTAAGCGAGAGACTCCCTTTAATAATACTTGTAATTTTGGATTGGTTTTTACGTATTCCCTTAATTTCTGTTTATCTGGAAATGTCCTAATTTTGCCACCATAGTTAAGTGAGAGTTTTGCAGGATATATTATTCTGATTGATAGCTTTTTCCTTTCAAGATTTTATATATGTAGTCCCATTGCCTTCTTGCCTGGATGGTTTATGCCAAGTGATCAGAGCTTAGCCTTATTGTTTCCTCTTTGTATGTGACTTTTTGTTTTCCTCGAGCTGCTGTCAGGATTCTTTGTCTTTGGTTTTATGGAGTGTGATTATGATATGTCTTGCTGTTTATCTTTAGGGGTCTATCCTATATGGGGCTCGTTGAGCTTCTTGGATAGTCGATTTTTTGTCTTTCATGATTTTAGGGAAGTTTTCTGTCAGCAAATCTTCAATGATCCTTTCTGTGTTTTCCATTTTCTCCCCCTGTTCTGGAACTCTGATCACATGCAAATTTTTGCTTCTGATTGTATCCCACATCGGTCTGAGGGTTTCTTCATTCTTTTTTTCTGATTTTTCCTCAAATGAAGTGGTATCCAAGGATTTGTCTTCAGTTTCACTGATCCTGTCTTCTATTGTTTCAAATTTGCTCCTAAAACCTTCTATTGCGCTATTCATTTCTGAATTCTTGTTGTTTATCTTTTGGGTTTCTAATTGCATGTTTTTGTATGATTTTTAGTTGTTTATTTATATTGACATTTTGTTCCTGTATTATTATCTTGAATTTTTCCATTGGGTTATGTGTCTTCTCTATGATTTTGTCTTTATTTTCCATGATTTTGTCTATTTTTTCTGCATTTTCCTTCATCTGTTGGAGAACCCTGAATATTGGAGTTCGAATTCCCTATCAGGTAGCCTTTTCTTCTAGCAGAAGATCATCTGGTGTTTTATTTTGGTCACTTTCTGGAGCCAACCTCTCCTTTTTTTTTAGTATGTTTTGATATTGTCTGCTGTGTCCAGGACATTCAGGAATTATTTTCTTCGTTTATTGATTGATTATAGATTTAATTGTTTCATCCTGGTTTTTTGTTTTATTTGGTTACATCTGGGTAGATGGGCTGAGTGTGTTTTACTGGTTGCTCGCCTGTGGGCATGTTACTTCTCACCACCTTGTCCAGGTGGGCAGGTCCAGTCACTCAGCTATGGTGCAGTAGGGCAGGTCCAATGAGGGTGGAGAGGCAAAGATGGGAAGTTTACTACATGAACTGGGGGTTACAGGGCAGGGCTGGTGGGCAGTGCAGGGTGAGGTCCAAGGGATGGCATTGGTACCACTTGGGGGCATGGCAGTCAAGTGCATGGTGCAGATTGGCAGGACGGAAAGGAGAGGATGTGATGTACAGAGCTAACTAATGGGTTAATGAAGGGAAACAAGAGAATGAATCAAAAGCAAAAAAAGTAAAAAAAGGCAAAAAATGAAATTAAAAAATAAAAATAAAAAAAGTAAATAGAGGTGCTAGTTGCACAACATTGAGAATATACTAAATGCCATGGAATTGTTCACTTTAAAATTGTTTTATGTTACGTGAATTTCACCTCAATAAATTATTAAAAAATAAATATAAATAAAATGAAAAAAAAAAGTAAGTAAAATGATGGTGCTGTAGGATTTGGTGGGTGGGGGCAGGGCAGACCCGGCGAGGCCATGTGCTGGTGGCTCTCTAGCTGAGTGGTGTGGCTCAGCCTGTCCAGAAGCAGCACAGGTGGCACATGGGGCTAGGTGGGGGGGAGGTGAAAGGAACGGAAAGAGGGGAAAGAGAGAGAAGAAATCACCAAATAAAAATAAATAAATAAATAAATATTAAGATAAAATAAAAACAACTACAACAAAAATGTGGTGGGGGAGTTGCCTGTTGGGGTGGGGCTGAATTGAGGTGACAGTGAGCCAGTGAGTCTCTTGCTGAGTGACACAGCGCGGTCTGTCATGAAGGAGCAGAGGCAGCACAGGGCCTAGGTGGGAGGGAGAAGGAAAAGGAGAAGGGGAAAGATAAAGAAAAATAAAAAATATGGTGCTGAGGGAGCTAGCCTGTGGGGGCGGCACAGACCTGGGGAGGCCGTGTACCAGAGGCTCTCCAGCTGAGCAGTTCAGTACAGCCTGCCAGGAAGTTGGAGGCAGCACATGGGGCTGGGTGGATGAGAGAAATAAAGGAAGGACTGGAAAGAGAGAGAAGAAACAGAAGAAGAAGAAAAAAGAAAAAAAAAAAAACAGGAAAATAGCACTGAAGGGGCTGGCTGGCGGCAGCAGTGAGCTAGTGTCTCTCTGGCTGAGCAACCATGGCCCGTTGGAAAGTGATGGAGGCTGCACAGAGGGAAGAAGGATGGGACTTGGGAAAGTGTGGGTCCCTGGTTACTGGGTGCTCTGTCTCCTGCTGGGAGTCATTCTTCATAGCAGTCCATCCCTTATCTAGAAGTTGCAACTGAGAGCTACATGTAAATGGTCCAGGGAATGATGTTTCCCTTCAGACATTCGTATCGCAAGTAGTAGGAAAATGAAACATGAGAACATTCATTCTGGCTTATGTGGACCTAGATCATTGAAACATGATTTCAGGATATCCCCCTAACTCTTTTCTCTCCATATGCTTTAGAGATGCCTTCAAGTAATTGAGACAGAAGGGTCAAGGGACCCCATGAGGCAGGCCCCGAACCCTGTCCCTGCTCTCAGCACCATCTGTAAGTCTCCCACCTCCTCCGCCCTGGCTTCAGCCCTGCAGCCCCCTGCCTACGAGGCCAGGTTCATCAGTGCAGGCTCTCTGGGTGCTACGGGACAATAGGCATGAAGAAATTTTTCAATTTTGTAATTCTACATTCTAGGAATTCTAAGAATGTATCCTGAAGAAATAACCAAAGGCGCACACAAAGAGTCATCTATCAGGATCCTTACAGTGTTTGTAACTTGTCTTAGTAAAAACCTAAACATTTCTTAAATTTCCAAGAGCAGGTGAGTGGTCAAGCTTAATGTGGCAATCTATGTAATGCGTGAGATGCAGACATTAAACATCATGCTGTAGACACATACTGTGTAACACAGGAAACTGTTAGTGACATGCGTAAGTTGAAAAATCAGAAGACAAAGCAATTTCTACTTATGAATGTGTGCCTATGCACACGTGTATTTGAACCTGACTTTAAAAACATTAATTTATATGTAGAAAATAAAGACTGAAAAGAAGTTCTCCAAATGTTAACAGTATCTCTGAATAATAAAATTATATACAATTGTCATTTTGTTTACAGGTTATTCAAACTATGTGCTATACTGCTTGCTTATAACTCTGTAGGCACATATGAATTTTGCAAGTACATGTGCAGAGTTGCTGAGTGAGACATGGGGGAAAGCAGATACTATGGAAATTTGTGAGTACAGAAAGCACCCAGGCTTAGATGTGAAAGGGAAGAGGTCAGAAAATACTCTACACCTTAATTAAGTCAGTAAGAAAAAAGCCAGGCCTTTTATTCTGTGCTCTGCCGTTTTTATTTCCAGGCCATGAGATGCATGTTATTTGGTGAACCTGAATCTTCACTACATGCTGGTTTGTGAGTCCTCTCCTTCCAGGACTTAGATAGGGAACTTGTCAGCTGAACAGTCTCCTTTATGCTTCCATTTAAGGCTCAGAGAGAAGAATGGATTCAAAACAATAGAGAATGGTATTGGAAGGTGTTGAATTAGTTTAAATTTGGAATGGCCTGGGGACTCTTTGAGAAGTTTCCTGGTGAAGCGCTTTTTTTTTTTTTTTTTTTTTGGCTCTTTAGGAAGATGACTAAATATAAAAACGTTTAGAAACGATCCCCTGTGTGCTTAAATACAATTATAAAATACTTTGTGAACACGCACAAGGTGCTACAGAAATGCTGAACAATAATGAGATCAGCCAGATGTGGCCACCACAGAGAAATTTAAATGGACTCTGACTTTTCCCCACTTCCGATTTTTCTCCTTGGTGCCAGCAAGGCACACCCTCCTGGCCCTGTGGTGTACCTCGTCCCCTGCCAGACTCTCCTCCTCAAGTGTTCTCAGCTCACAGCTATGCTCCGAAGGACTGACGGCACCTCGGCTCCTGTGTGCTGCCCTGAAGGGCCAGTGATAATTCTAAGAACTTGGTTGATTTAATGCTTTAACTGCTCTATTTGAGTCAAAAAGTCAACCTAATGAAAATAAGCTATGATTACTGGGGTTTAAGCCATTCATTGTTAAGTATTATTAAGAACTTGCATTGAACGGGGTACCATTTATAGTACCAGATAAAACAAAATGAAAATAACATGGCAACCATTCTGAAGACGCTCATGGTCTAGTGGAAATAATTCGACCAATAACCAATAATCTATCTTTATGTCCTCCATTTCCATTTATTTATTTAACGCAATAAAACTTAGGGTTTTTAAAATTTCTTTTCGTCTACACTGCACAGCTGAGAAACCAGAAGCTCAGGGTTGTGACACAGCATGCACAAGGCCACGGTAACAGTCATCTTTGCACAACAGTGCTACGCAACAGCTACGCAGGGACAGGCTGAACACACCTGGGCGTTTGTGGGCTTGTTGAGCCATTTACCCAAGTACACTTGGGGCTCTAGCTTTACAGTTAGAAGAGAGGAAAACAACAAGTGTTTAAGCCTCAGGTGGAATTCATCCTCCACCACATCCGTAGAAGTCAGGGTGTATAACTCTGTACCTCGTCCCCTGCCAGACTCTCCTCCTCAAGTGGTTACAGCCCAGGACAGAGTCCTCATCCAGCTGTGTTCTCTGTAGGAACTGGCCAGGGGCTGGCTGGAGACGGCGCCCAGCGACTCTTGAACCTTTCTCTAACTTTTGCCACGTTGGTGGGTGTTGACGGACATGGCTCAGGACCCCAGGTTTTAGTTATCTCCAAGACCAGAGACATATTTTTTGTCACAGGTGCATGCTAAAAGAAAAAAGAGCAAGTGGGTGGAAATAATCTTCTAAAAATTCCTTCTTTGCTGTGCATTTACGGTCTGAAAGAATGACTGCTATTTCCCCAGGTGAACGTTTCACTCCGCTGAAAGCACCTCTACAAGGCCTAAGGTCCCTCTAAGAAAGGCAACCTACTAACATATAGAGTAATGTACCCCCAACAATTAAGAATGACATGTGTCTGCAACTTTTCATGAGATACTGATTGCTTTTCAACATCATGTGTCCTTTGATGAGAGTGGCCATCTATGCTGTTAGGCTTTATTGTGTGTGTGAGATTTTTTCCCTCTCAAAAGGTCCAGGCTTGGATGACACATACATGGGACAGGCCAGTGCTGCAGAGTGGACCCCTCAGCATGGACCTTTGCTTTGTTTCAGGAGTGGCTGCTGCCCCCAGAAGCCCCTCCCTGCCATCTGGCTACCATTTCATTATGGCCTTGCGGCCGGTTTCTGCTGCTTGGTTTCTCAGAAGCTACTAAACCAAAAAACAGGCTGTTGATGTTGAGTCAGTTTTGACTCATAGTGACCCTGTAGGACAGAGTAGAACTGCCTTATAGAGTTTCCAACACTGTAATCTTTATAGAAGCAGCCTGCCACATCTTTCTCTCATGGAGCAACTGGTGAGTTTGAATTGATGACCTTTAGGTTAGTAGTTGAGTGCTTAGCCACTGGGCCACCAGGGCTCCTAAAGAAGCTATTAGGATTCTTAAATTGCAACTATACTGAGATCTTAGGAAATTGACTTTGCTGACTACAAAAGGGCCAGCCAGACTCTGACTGTTTTTCTTGATGGGAAGCTCAGTGTAGAATGGCAGATGTGGCCAGACTGACTGTAGCGCTAGAGGAAGCCTGACAGTGCCATCCAGCAGCATGTGGTCCCCATGCGGGCATCTGCTTTGCACGTCCAATATGGTTCATGCTGAGAACGTGGTTTATGCTGGAGAGGAGAGCTGTTCTGTGCCTCTCCTAAAACTCTAGCTTTTCAGAGCTCAGCTATAACTTCTGTGATGTTTCAGTGTGAAAGCTATTGCTGAGTCCTGCGCACACTCCTGAGCGTGGCTCACAACAACTAGGGACTGTTGTGATTATGCATTGATGACTCCTGTTCCTTTACTGTCTTCCTCCAGATCTCACTCTGCCTTGCCCCGGCTCTCCAGCTTCAGGTCTAAAGACTCCTGCTTTACGGAAAATACTCCTTTGCTGAGGAATTCTTCACAAGAGAAAGGGTGAGATTCCTTTTCCTTCCTAGGAAATTAAGGAATTTCTGGGCATTGCTATTGGCACTTACATGGGAATTTCTTCTGAGATATGAATTTTTACCTGATGTGTTTGGTCTCTGCCAGCTTCTTGTCAGTTCAATGGAGCACATGGTGCGTGATTCTAGTGACTGTGTTCTGTGGCTTGTGGAGTACTCAGAACATTGCATTGATTGACCTACACAGGTGTGCACACACATGCACACAGCTGACAGGCTATCTCACTAACCCAGCACTTCTCACCTGGGGCAAGACTGGCCCTGTCTGAAGACATCTTTGGTGGTCACAACTTGGGTGAGGTGCTACTGGCATCTAAGGGTGGAGGTCAGGGCTGCTGCTGAACGCCCTGCAAGGCCCAGGACAGCCTTCACCACAGAGAATGATCTGAGGTTGAGAAGCCCTACCCTGTATGATGCATAAGAAAACTCTGTTTTCTGCGAGGTTGAAGGTCCCTGTGGCGATAAACCTGGGTGGTTCTGGAGCTCCCTAAGCGAAGCTGGCCTGGGGGAGGAGGACAGGCCTCCCCTCTTGCCTCCCCCTCCTCCTGCAGACAGACTCCTCCTGGGCCAACACTTGAATTGTCTAAATTCTTGAGGGATAAGAAACAAGATTAGCACAAAGCTGGGTCCTATGAGGTAAAAGTCAGGTATATCTTCACCTTCCCACCTCTCCATTATTTCTGACACCAGCTGCTCCTCCCACAGCACTCTTTCTCTGGTAGGTTTGTTAAATGCAGTGGCTACACAAAATTCATAGACCATACTTAGAGTTATGTGGTTTATTAGGGAAGTAACAGGCTACAACTTGGGATCAGGATCAACTTGGGAGTAACAGGAACAATTTGAAATCAGGTCAGGAAACACACAGGCAAGGTCTGGAAGGGTCCCTGAGGTAGAGAGCATATCCTTCCCTTCTTTAGTGTAGGACAGCTTCCAAGCAGGACGGCCCTCTCAGCTGCTTTCCATTGTCAGGCCTTTCTTCCATCGGGCTTCTCCGTCATTGAGTCTCTTTGTTGTCAGCCTCTCTACACCTGACTGACCCAGCTCATAGTCAGTATAGCAGCTCTTAGCTCTGCTCTGCTCAGCTCTCTCAGCTGCTGTCTGTCATCAGGCCTCTCTTCTGTAAGGCGCTCTGCCTTAAGCCTATCCATTGTTGGCCTCTCTGTCATCAGGCTCTCTGCTGCTGACTGGTCCAGATCATAGCCAGTGTAGCAGCTTGCTCAGCTCTCTTAGCTGCTGCTCTCTTAGCAGCAGATGTCTGCAGTTGGGCCTCTGTGATGTCAGCCTCTCCTCTGGTAACTGGCCCAGCTCATATCCAGTGTAGCAGCTTTGGGACCGCTCTGCTCCCACGTGGCTCTGCTTCTCTGCCAGCCCAGGTCTTAGCCGGCAGCTCTCTTAGCTGTAGGTTTTTTTTTTCACCAGACCTGGGAGGGACCTCTGTGTCCCAAAGAACACACTCTTCTTCAGGCTCCTGTCAACCAGGAGGCCTTGGAAACCTCTGCATTTCAGTCCTCTGTATATACCAATCCTCATCAGTTACAAGGTGGGGCCTCCCTCATCCTCAGTTACACATGAGATGTCAATCAGCTTAGGTCTTATACCAAAGTAACAGTTTCTGTCAGCAGAAAACAGCTCCTCCCTTGGGCAAAAGTAACAGCCCTCTGGGGTAGAAAGCAACTTGGGATGTTGCCCAAGTTGTTTCTCTAAAGAACTAGGGCAAAGGTAACAACTCCTCGGGGCTTAGGGGAAAAATCTGCCAAGCTATTTTTCCAAAGAATCAATGCAAAAGGCCACATAAAGTTCTCATTGCACCACACCCTGGCCCCATACATCACCAGCTTGGGTTGTCTTGGAGCCCTCACTCTTCTGCCTGCTGACCCTGTACCCTGCATCACAGGTGGGGCTGCCGTGCTCCCTCACTGGCCTTCCTCCCCAGCTACAGCCAAGGGCTTCACACTTTAGGGTGCACAGTATTCCCTCGGGCTCACTCTCAAAGGATTCAGGGTTTTGGATGGTGTGCGGGGATCTGGATTCATCACCTCCCAGTGCAGGTCCCATCTGGCTCTCCTCTGGAGGCTCCTGATGACAAGCTGTGTCTCCCTGCCAAGTGCCTACCAGCCCCACTGACTACAACAACCTCCTCCCACCCCTGGCTCTGCAGAGCAGTCCCATTTGGCTCAAGGGGGCCTGAATGTCACCTCCTCTGGGAAGCCTTGGGCTCTGCCTCTGCCCTGCTCTCTCAAACTTTGAGTCCCTCTGAACTTGTGCATGTGTTATCCATTGAGTCTTGCTGGCCTGCACCCTCATTGTCCTGCACCCCAGTGTCTGCATGGCCACTGACCCTCAGTGATTGATGGATGGAGGATGCAGGTGAACCATTTCCACCCACCTATATCTCAAGGCTTTTCTCTGAGGGGACGATTCTTCTCCTTCATCTGGTCTATCAATAACTCCGAAAACAAACATGGCACACATTTATTTCCTTAACACCTTCCCTTGAATTTCTTGGTAAACTGTGAAGGCCTGAGGAATTTTTAGAATTCTCAGTTCATTGGGAAACCTGTACTGGGTGCCGAGCTGTTCCACAGTCACAGAAACCACATCAGAGGAGCAGGTCATCTTTGCTTACAGAACATTCTTCTTTTCTTTCTTTTGTTCATGAAGCTAATTGAGGAGGTGGTGATGGGGAGGCTTTTTTGATGCTTTGTTATTGTCAGCTTTGTTTTGTTGCAGTATTAATTTAGCCTAGTGGCTTATTAGGATGATGTCCATCAATTTACATTTTCAGAAAGAATGTCTCTTGTTTTGAGGGTAGGAGTGTATGGATAGAGTCTATTCTGTCCAACTTGATTGCCACTAGCCTCATGTGGTCATTTAAGTAAGTTTAGATTGATTACAATTAAATAAAATGTAACATTCAGTTCCTCAGCTGTGCTGGCCACACGACTGCTGTACAGGACAGGGCAGAAAGCATTTCCTCGCTGTAGACAGCTCTGTGGACATCCTGACGTGGCTAACTGTGATCCTCTTCCCACCTATAAGAAACCATGTTTGCTTAGTTCTAGTTTGGCTACGGTTGTGTTAGTTCCTCACACACATGAGCATTTCCCAGGGTCAGGAAACCACAGGAAAGGCTAGTGGTCATTTTCAAGTCTGTGCACTGTCAGCATCACTGCCCCTTGGTCACATGCTGGTTTTGCACAGTCTAGCTTACCCCTCTGGGCTTCTCCTTAGGGGGATGACTGTTTTTTCTTTTAATTGTTGTGAACCAGTTTTAAAGCAGTGATAAGTGTTTGGAAAATCACAGCACCCCACTGAACTGGCCTCAGGGTGTGCTAGGCTAGTGAGGGCATTCATTTCTGCAGATTGTGGCAGGTGTTAGTGTAAATATTTGACCCCAGATGATTTACCTTAAGGCCAGAGTTCTGGGGTGTCATCTCCATTAGGGTAGGGTGGAGGTTACCCTGTCTTTGGTCCTCTCAAAAACCAGGGTTGACTCCAGGGCAACTCCCACATCTCTGCTGAGAGGAGCCTCATTTGGGGGATGGTACCATTTTGGTGAGAGTAACCCCAGGCTGTGTGTTTCCAGGCTACAGTGCATGTCCATCTGCCCTCCGGATCCCACCACAGCAGAGGAATCGTGGAGACAGAGCTCTGCAGACTGGGAGCAGAGTCACTTGCTGGGCAGTGACGGGGCCGGGCTATCTGGGTCTGCTTCCACAGAGGAGAAGGGCGATGTTCCTGCTGGTGCTCCTGGCATGTTCCATTTGTGGACACTGAGGTAGGAGGGCTTAAGTGCATCCCTGTAGAGATGACGTTGCACACAGGTCTCTTGCCCTGGGACTGGGGTGTGCCCTCACTTCGTTCTCCCAAAGCCCACTTGGTGAAGATGGAAAGGATGGTTTTTCACAATGGCAGGCCACACTTCCTGTCAGGTGAGGGATTGTTTCTCCAAGCCCCGGAGGACATCTGGGCATAATCCATGAAGCTATGAGAGACTTGGTGCAAACATGCAGGACCCATGTTCTGCACTACTCCATCTGTTTGTGTGTCTCTGTGGCCATTGGGTTTACAAATGGAATCAGTTCTTGCCAAGAGTGCCAAGGGGTCTCAGAGGTTGCTACTGTTATTGGTAGTTATGTATGAAGCCCTTTATTAGGAGTCGACTGGTTCTACTGTCTGAGGAAAGCCCGAGGGGGTGGTGAGGCCAGCCCAGGGGGAGTGCCCAAGGTCTGGGGAGGGCTGGCTGGACTGCAGACTTGCCACCCAGGAGCCAAGCTTGCTTTGTCCTCTGTATCTGCTGGGTACCATGCACACATTGATGTGAAGGGAGAGCTCTATTGAGAGCAAAAGTTTTGAAAATGGCATCCCCTTACCCCCTGGCATCCCCTCGCCCCTTCTGTCTCTTCACCACCTGACGTCCCCTTGCTCTTCCTGTCCCTTCACCACCTAGAGTCACTGTAGGTCCTCACAATGCCTGGGCATCCCCTCTGTAGGCACACCGGTGTCTGGCTGATGAGTCTGCTAAGAAATTATGTGAATTATGTGAATTGGGTGAGTGGAGGGCAGAGGGTCTGGCCCTGTCAGTCACTAGCATGGCCACCTGACACTTTTAATGCCCTTCCTAGCCCCTGGGCCCAGCTCCCGAGGATGGTGTGTGCCCAAATGTCTCACAGCTTGGGTCATAGCACCAGGTATCTGTGAGGCTTCACCTTCAGTGGTTGTTGTACCTTCTGTGATTCATGGAATACTTGCCCTGAGATCACCTTCATGGAATACTTGCCCTGAGATCACCTTCATGGAATAATTGCCCTGAGATCACCTTCATGCAATACTTGCCCTGAGATCACCTTCATGGAATAATTGCCCTGAGATCACCTTCATGGAATAATTGCCCTGAGATCACCTTCAAGGAATAATTGCCCTGAGATCGCCTTCATGGAATAATTGCCCTGAGACCAGCTTCATGGAATAATTGCCCTGAGATCACCACAGACCTACAAGAGTCCATGCCATTCTGTTATGTCTAGAAAGTACCATCCACTGCTGATGAAGAAACATTTTATTTTGGGTTGTCAGCTCTGTTGTGTATGCCAGTCACGTAGAACGAGATTAGTGTTTAGAATAGCTGGATAAATGCTTCATGCTTTAAAAAGAAGTGTCATTTTGATTCCCATTTAAATAAGAGCTCTTGAATCATAAATTGGAAGTGTGAAATGGCTATCCATCAATTTCATTAATCTAGGCAAATAAAAACAAGATTTTAGCATTTTCCAGGGATCAGAAAAAGTTTTGAAGGAAGGATGGAACTGAAAAAGATGCCCCAACATAGACTTTCTTCCTTTCTCTGCCAGTGCCAAAGCCTTCCAGTACCATGGGCTGCTCGGGGAGAGGGTACAGCACCCAGGCTCCGCCCTGCCAAAAGGGTGTCAGTAGGGGGCAGGCCGGACCCTGCACACTCAGCCGCTGGGTCAGGAGGGAGGCTGTCTGCAGTCCTGTTGGGAGGGGGTGAATGGGGATGGGGAGAAGGACCAGAGGAGGGGAAGCCCCCCTAGCGGAGCAGCAAGAAAGCAGGGTGAGCAGGAGGAGCCTTGAGGGGCGGTTGGTGAGAATGGAAGGGGAGGGCATGGGGGAGTCTTTCTGTGACCGTATGTCCTGATGAATTCTGAAAAGGTTCCGTGGTACAACAGCCACAGACTCGCTATTACTTTCTAGAATTATTATTTGTTCACGGACTAGTCAGTGCGTTTATATTTGAAGATCAAATCCGTTTACCCACCTCCCAGAAAACTCTGGGGAAAATCATTGACAAAGATGAATCTGAGAGCCAAGATAAGGCGCTTGATTCAGTTGTATATAGTGGGACCTTGGACCCTTCAGGGAGCCCTGGTGGCGCAGTGGTTAAGAGCTCTGCTGCTAACCAAAAGGTCAGCAGTTCGAATCCACCAGCCACTCCTTGGAAAGAAACCCTATGGAGCAGTTCTACTCTGTCCCTATAGAGTCGCTACCAGTCGAAATCGACTAGATGGCAACGAATTGGAGCCTTTACAGACTAGTAAAAAGCCAAAATCTTGAATCCCAGCGCCTCTGAAGGAAGGCGCTGCTCACAGTCTGAGTACGGTCTCCAGCGGCGCCTTTCCAGGAGGCAGTGGTTTGCAGGTAAGCAGGTCAGCGGTGCCGGATTCATTTCACTAGGGACAGACGCTTTCTCTTGCAGGAGCTGCGTGCGCGGGCTGACCGTGGCGGGCCTGTTCATCCTCGTAGTGGTGTTCTCCGTGAGTACCGCGGCTCTGCACGGGGCCCTCAGACCCACCCTCCTGCCTTCCTTTGCGGGAGGTGCTGGGGTGCCTGGGGTGGTGGCTGGGGTGCCTGGGGTGGCGGCTGGGGTGGAGGAGGAGACAGAGCCCCAGCACAGACCCTCTGTGTCCCCACTCAGCAGTCACATCTTCAGACGGGCTTGCTCCATGGGACTCGGTTAGTGCACCCTGGCTCTCCTTCCGCTCAAGGGGCTTACCAGCTTTTCTTTTCAAACACATACAATAAATACACTCTTAATTTGCATTGTGACCCTTCCAGCGATATGGGGCCCCTTTGATGGAGCCCTGGGTCTCCCCTGCTGGGCCAGCCTGCTTGGGAGGGAGTGAAGCTACCGAAACCTCCTCGGAGGCTGCTCCAGCTTCGTTGGTCCCTCTGTCTGCCCTTTCTGAATACACTGCATGCCCAGCAGACTCTTCCCAGAGTCAGATCAACCTCAGATGCCCACGCCCCGGACAGGGTGCCGGAGAGAGTGCGTGTGCAGGCGTTCGGTGAACATCAAGGGGTGGGAGTGATGGCTTCTCTTAAGTGGAAGAAGACAAGTAGGGGCTGTGATGGCGGCACTTCCGGCACTGAGGGTGAACTGAGCCTGGAGGCCAGAAAAGGCAAAAGGCTGTGGACTGGTGGGGAGCAGGGCGGCCATGGAGTGGGCTCTGAGTGCAGCTTTCCCTGACTAGACAGATACTTGCTGCCAGCATTGTGTGTTCCATGGCCTCACCAGGATCACACAGCAGGCAGTCGAAGTGTTATGTGTTGGATAAATGGGTATGTGTAGCCCTCTGTTCCCAGCTGTGTGTATGTGTGTGTGCATGGGTGTGATGGACGTTGTGGGACAGTTGTGATCTCTGAATGTGATAGATGTGCCTGTGCTTGGGGAGTTATTTCTGGTTGTGTGCCATTTGTTAGCTTTGGTGCATGATGGGTTGTGTTTGGTGGATGATTGCTGGTGTTGTGGTGTGATGGGTGTGGAGTTGTAAGTGAGGCACCCAGTCCCACGTGTGTGTGGTGTTGTTTCTGTGATTGCCTCCGTGTCTGAGCTGTGGGCTTGTCTGTGTCCAGGGTGAGTATAATGTGGGGATAGGGAACTCTCCTGTCTCTCTGCTACAGAGAAGCTATGCATGGGATGTTATCTGCACACGTGGCATGAGGGTGGGAGTGTGCAGAGATGCATGTGACTACGAGTGCCCTCTTCCCACCTGTGAGATCGACAAAGATGAATCTGAGAGCCAAGATAAAGCACTTGGTTCGTTTGTAAATATTGGGACCCTGGAGCCTTTACACACTGGGGAAGAGCCCAGATCTTGAACCTGAGTACCCTTGCAGGAAGGGTGGGTAAGCAAAGGGTGGGCACTCATGGTAGATGCTGCCTGAGCAGCTGAATTGAGTGAGGTCAACTTTTAATGCCCACCAGTGGAGAAGAGCCATGGCCCCAGAAAATGCAATCTAGGGATGAGACAAAAACAACCATATTTTGTTTTTCTGGCTACTAATTTGCCTTTCTAAGGAGCCTAGTGGTGCAGTGATTAAGCACTCAGCTGCTATGCAAAAGGTCAGCAGTTTGAACGCACTAGCTGCTCATTGGGAGAAAGATACAGTAGTCTGCTTCCATAAAGATTTATAGCCTTGGAAACCCTATGGGACAGTTCTACTTTATCCTATAGGGTCTTTATGAGTCGAATAGTCTTCATGGCAATGGGTTAATTTACCTTTCTGATTCCTTTCACACACTTATGGTTGTAAGCAGAGCACACCCACTGATTGATGGGCTGAGCAGGTGGGCATGTGGGGGTTTTAATAGTCAGTGTCAGGGCGGGGTCCTCCCCTGGCCCACTGAGGGCTCACCTGGCTTCATGTCTATTCTTTACCCTTCTGGGAGATGAGTTTTGGTTATTTGTGGACACTTCCAAAACAGAATGTGAGGGATTTGTTTGGAAATTCTAAAATCTGTCATCTCATCCACACTTTAATTTCCTACGGTATGTAAGGTGATTTGCAAAGTCCGCAAAGACTTGTTGCACTGATCACATAGGCTACATTCCTTTAGTCTTGAATATGGAAAATCACGTTTACCCACTGTTGACAATTTAACTTTTGTGGCCAGGTATTTTATCCTTAAAATGGGCAAATATTAGTAATCAAGGCCCATTTGTAACTGACAATAGTATAATGAACCAGAATTTTATTTTTTAATATCTAAGAAAGGGTATTCATAATAAGCTGGTGAATTTTTGGATACGTAAATGAACAGCATTGTAAGATCTCTATTTTCAACTGTTGTCAAGATTATTTAAATTCTATTCTTCTCATACAGCACATCTATAATTGAATGTTTCTGGTTGTTACAGATTTTATTTAGCCTATATCCGGATCAAGGAAAGTTCTGGCAGTTGTTGGCTGTGTCACCATTGGAGAGCTACTGTATCCAGAATATACCTGAGCCGGTCATCACCGTGGCTGGAGTTCACAAAGTCAGGGGACAGCTGTTGCTGAGGTTGCAGCATGGTGATCATTGTTCTTACACACACATTCTCTCTGTTCAGGGCTTTTGAAGATGTGGGGGAGGGGAGCTCCAGGGAAACTGCCATGAGGTGGAGAGTGTTCTGGGGAAGAGATGAGGAAGCAGTGCATTCCTGCAAGGGCCTAGTGTTTCTGGGCTCTAGTGCATTAGCTTCTGTCTGTCCTTTCCCACTTATTTCCTTTCAAGGTTCAGTTTGGGTGCTTCCTGTTTACCTGTCTTCAGGCGCTCTCATTCTTTCCTTGACTCTATGGAAGCCGGAATCAGAAGTGGCAAGAGGGAGGGGGTAGCTCCTGGAAGCTCTGGTTTGCTAGTCCCAGAAGCTGGGATTCCGAAGTCACTACTGACACCAGAACGTTGGGTGGGGCTTTAAATTTTAATGCTGGTGGGCATCTGGGAGAGGAGAGAGCTTTTGTGCATACTCCACTTGGGTGGTATCCACCAGGGTGTGAGATACCCAAGGACAAAGGCCTTCTTGTATTCATTTCTCTCTTGGTACCCAACAGATGCTCCCAAAACACCCAATAAATCTTAGAGGGCAAACCGACCTGGGTGGGTCCAGTGTTCTCTGATATTGGTCACCAAGTGTCACTGTTCCAATTTCCTGGTCTCCTTCAAGAACTCTTGAATCTATTCTGTGTTAAAGTATTTCTCCTCACCCCAAATATTATGTCGGTCTGTCCTGGGAAAGGGGTAGGATAGTAATAATTTCAGGTGTGGACAAAGGAGCACTTTGTCTTTGGGCCTTTTCTTAGTATCCTCTGCCTCACGAGACACTTCTGGTTTTCTGTTGTCCTTGTTGGAACTCAAGCAGCAGACAGGTGTGAGGAGTGTCTCTCTAGCCAAATAGTGGGACAGCTGCCTGTTCTGGACTCCTTAAGAGTAGTGCTGACACAGCACTGAGTTACCACCACATTTCTGTACTTTTTTTAACCAGCACATTTCCTGGAGGAACTAAACAGTGAAAAAGGATTAATCATTCTCTCACACTCCCCAGCATGCAATGCAAATCCTGTAGATAGTCTGGCAAGAGGGAAGTTCTGCCTTTTCTGTAAATCTGCTCTGTCAACCATCCGTTTCTTTAGGAATTTAAGGAAGAGTAAAGGAATTGACTACTGAATCCTCCTAAAATCAGTGAGCTGCAGCTAAAGACCTCATATAGAAGCATGAACAATTATGAGATTCATTTTTCTACAACTGTTTTCTCTTCTGGATGAAAATATAGAGTGCTGTACTGTATAGGGGAGCCATGGTGGCGAAGTGGTTAAGAGCTCAGGCTGCTAACCAAAAGGTCGGCTGTTTGAATCCACCAGCAGCTCCTTTGAAAACCTATGGGGCAGTTCTACTCTGTCCTATAGGGTAGTTATGAGTCATAATTGACTCAACAGCAATGGATTATACTGTATAGGATCTGAAGCCCTGGGTGAACTTAGCTGCTAATTGAAAGACTGGAAGTTCAAGTCCACCCAGAGGTATCTCAGAAGAAAGGCTTGGTGATATATTTCCGATAAATCACCCATTGAAAACCCTATGGAGCACAGTTCTACTCTGACACACTTGGAGGCTTTCATGCGTTGGGGTCGACTCAACGGCAACTGGTTTTATATAGGAACTATGTTGACAAAGATACTGGCACCCCGAGCTCCAGGAACTCAGAGCCTGAGGTGTGAGGCTTTGCAGGGGTCAATGGGGGTAGAGGAGAGAGGGGTCGGGCCTGTGCTCTGACATTTCTGCAACAGCGGTGAGAGGCTAAGGGGAAGGCTCTGTGCAGGAATACACACCATGGATTACACTTTGAGGTGCGGACGGCCCTCTTTTTCTGGCACCTCTTTGCTGACCAGGAACCACTGCCACTGCATTTTGAAGGATTTCCTCTCTTCTCATTATAGGCTGTTCACTGCTTAGCCAACTTCAGAATTCTTATTTTTAATCCTCTGATTCCTCACCTTACAGACAGGTGTTGATAAGTAAAAATGGTTTGGGGGTGATGTCTGACCTCCTGCAACCCCACAAGGGGAAAGGAGAATCAAGATCAACGGCCCAAGGCTGATTCCTATGAGATGGGGGTCGGACATGTCCTCTCTCACTGCCATCTTTACCAATTCTGACACCAACCATCCCTCCCATGGCACTCTGTACTCTGTAGGGTTTGATAATTGCATTGGCCACATAGAACTCACAGACCACACTCACGATTGTAGGGTTTATTAGGGAAGTAACAGATTACAATTCAGGCTCAGGAACACTTCAAGGATACAGTTTTTCCATCAGGACAGCCTCCTCCCAGCCGTGGTCACAGGCACATGTCTCCCTGGCCCTCAGTCTCTGTCCAACAGCACTCAGCTTTCTCTCTCTGTTGGCCAGGAAGCCCGCCGTGCCAACTCCTGCTGCCAGGTCTTTCCTGCCACTGCTTCTCACTGTCTTCAGGGTTACAGCTCGCTCTCTGTCTCCTGGTCCCAGGAGTCTCCCAGCACAGAGATCCCAGGTCCAAAGGATGTGCTGGATCCTGGCTATTCTTCCTTGGTGGTGGTGGGACCTTCTTCTCTGCTCTGGAATTGGCTCTCTTTTAAGGCAAAACTGACCAATCCCCTTGGTAGGCCACAATTACCCTATCACACAGTCACCTGGGTGGGAGTTACATTCTAGCCATTGCTAGAAAGGCCACACACAAAGTAATTAATAGCACATGATACCACCTGCTCATGCAGTGACCTTGTTTACTGCTCACTGTGGGCCCAGGAACGTGGGTAGGAGTTCTACAGTGGCTGCAGGAAGTGGAATCATACATGATCTTCACTGTGATTGATGTCAAAATAATCAAAGCTCAAAAGAACTAAATTATATAGGGTTTATTCGAGCAGTTAATCTGTATGCCTCCAGGGAGACCTCTCTGTTTAGAAAGGCTTCTTTTAGGCCAGTTACAGTGAGTTTTTAAGGAGGAAGGAAGAAACATAGAGTAGAAAATTAACCATTGATAATCTTAGTATGACTGATTGAATCATGCTGCCCTTCCTGAGATCAGCAGATATCAGGCCACTAGGTGGTTTTTGCCTGGCCAGCCCCCTGTTCATTTGTACAAATTCTGAGACGTTGTTCAGAGGTTTCAAATAGTAAAGGCACCTCAATTGCTCAGGAAATTATAAAGTTTTAGAATTTTCTCTCAGGAAATGAGGAAATTACCTAAAGTTAAATTCTTCTCATAAGATAAACTCTGAGCTAGTTTATGGTTAACAGATGTCTTTGTCATAAAGAGGAATCTGTGCAACTTCATGGCCACTGTGTCTCCACAGTACTTCTTTTTATCTGCTCATGGGAACATTCCACAAGGTTCAGTGACCTTTGTGAATTTTCCTATGCACTCAGGGATCTGTCAATATGGTCCTCAATTTCTCTCTTTAACAGTGGAGAGACACCATTTAGATGTTACAGCAGAGGATGCTAAATGTGAGGCGTGAGGGGACAAGGGGATGGGCATGGTCAAGGGTGATGGTCCTGCAGATTCATTTCTTCATGCACCTCCAAGAGGGATGCAGGCCAAGCGGGCCGCTGGGGTACCTGGCCTCATTGCATTTCGCCTTGACACACCACAGCTGTGAACCTCACTGGTGCTGCAGACTCCACGCTGCTCCAGGTGGATCTGGCGGGGGCGCTGGCACCCAGCGGGCTGAGCAGCCCTGGGAGAGAAGAACACATCGTGGTCAAGGTCACCCAGACAGATGCTTCGGGAGTGAGACGGCCGCGGCCACAGCAGGTCACTCTTATAAGTTATTTGAAAAGAATTGTAAAACTCATTCCATCTATTGTAAATTGGATTTCCTCTTGAATGGAGGTGATGGGGAGCCATGAGGCAAGGGAACCACTATTAGTTAAGCAATTGATTCTTATCTTTTGCTTTGTCTTTAAAATTCTCTTTTCTCTTTTCTATGAAATCAATTATAAAACTTGCCATTTCAGTAAAACCAAGCTTGTGAGTTCAGAATGATTTGACTGGGCAATTCAGGAGAGCTGCCTGTATTTGAAAGTATTTTTGTGGCTGTTAAAAGTGCTATTAATTCTTGACTTCACTTAGTGGCACTGAAGACACAGCACCTCGGTACCATCGTGGTTGGGGGTGATGGCAAGAGTGTGCATGTTGTCCACTCGCTTCTTCTGCGTCAACGAGCTAAAGCTTTCTGCTCTTGTCCCATGAAAGGCAGCACTGGCAGGTAGAGCCATCCCAGAGCCCCCAAAATTCCTTCTGCAAAGGCAGGACTCCCCTGTGCAGTCATCTCTAGAGCCTGACCTCTGTGACCTACTGAACTGTTACCCCAAATTCTGCTTGGAAGTCATGTCTTCAGTCAATGCTCTCTCTGCTCTAGCCAGGAGAAGGAAGCCCTGCTTGTGCAGAGGCTGGGTTCTCAGCAGGCTGTAGAGCACTCATGAGCTGAAGAGGCCACCCAGGTCTTTGTCTCCAGGAAGTAATTGTGCACCCCATGTGCTGCGCCTGCCCCTGGTAACCTGTGAAGAGCCCGGAGGACACTCTTGCCCTCCCGAGAAAGTAAGCCTGGCATTGGGTGGGGGCTGCCTGTGTCTACTCATAGCCCACCTCTGACAGGCCACGATGGTAGCCTGGAGACTCTCCCAAAGTGCTGTCCCCACCCCGCAAATCCAGCACAGGGCTCTTTACAGAAGGAATTTTCCAGATACAGCCCATCCAAACACCGAAGTGTTTCACGAGGACTTGTGCACTTTGCTGCTTTGACCAGTTTCGGAAGTTCTAGTTTCAGTTTCCATGAAATTTGTTGTCCTGGCCCTCCACTGAAAGTTCCTTGCCCTCCCCATGAGTGGCTCCCCTCTCTTCCTCTTCTCCATGCACCACCACTGCAGGTGGATTTGGATTTGCCAACAGCAAGTGAAGTGTCATCTCCAGGCTGCTTTGCTGGCTCCCCAGAGCCCTGGGATGTGCAGAGGCTTTAGGGGGTGGGAGTATAGCTAGGCCGCCAGCAGAAAGTGGTTCTAAATAGCCCCTTCCCTGTAAGTTGCCTAAAGAGGTCTCAGAAGACTGCTCCAAGTCTGCAAAAACTTGTGGTGATTTTTTTCTCACAACAAATCAGTGTTTACTTTTATGCTGTTTGCACTTTTGTACACTAATTCTGTATTACTTTTGTATTCTTTTTCTTGAATGAAGCCCTTTAAATTGTGTACATTTCAAACTCCACAAACCTTGCATCTACTCTAAATGCCATGGATGAGGGAGCCACTGTAAAACTGCTTCACTGCTCCTCTTTCTCATTTTCTCTTTCTACTAAAGAATTCCCTCAACAGAATAGCCCAGATCCCAGATGACATTCCAATTTAGATGTTTTATCACCATTTTAAACTTAATCTTTTACAGGTCACCTATAATTGGACAGTGTTTTTAAATCCAAGAAGAAATGAGCGCTTTGTCATAAGCCGGACCTTTGAGATACGGAGCAGGTGGGTTCTCAGATGAGTGAGGTCTTGGGAACCAGTGCTCTAGGACTTGATCACCCACGGAATTTTGAGCTATGGGACACACATTTGGCATGGAAGCACCTGGTCAGTTATGGGGCCTGGACAGGGTGGTAATGCTCCATAGTCCAAGAGCACAGAGGATTCTGGAAAAGTGTGTGTCTTAATTATCTAGTGCTGCTATTGCAGAAACGCCCCAAGTGGGTGGCTTTAACAAAGAGGAATTTATTTTCTCACAGTCTGTTGTTGTTGTTGTTGTTAGGTGCCGTTGAGTTGGTTCTGACTCATAGAGACCCTATGCACCACAGAATGAAACACTGCCCAGTCCTGCACCATCCTCACAATCCTTGTTATGCTTAAGACCATCGTCTCAGCCTCTGTGTCAGTCCATCTCGTTGAGGGTCTTCCTCTCCTTTGCTGACCCTCCACTTCACCAAGCATGATGTCCTTCCTCAGTACTGATCCCTCCTGATAAAACAGGTCCAAAGTATGTGAGATGTAATCTCACCATCCTTGCTTCTAAGGAGTATTCTGGTTGTACTTCTTCCAAGACAGATTTGTTCCTCTTTTGGCCGTCCATGGTATATTCAATATTCTTCTCCAACACCACAATTCAAAGGCATCAATTCTTCGGTCTTCCTGATTTATTGTCCAGCTTTCACGTGTATATGAGGGGATTGAAAACAGCCTCACAGTCTAGGAGGCTGGAAGTCTGAATTCAGGGTGCTGGCTTTAAGGGAAGGCCTTCTTTCTCTGTTGGCTCTGGGGGAAGGTCCTTGTGTCTTTTCCTTGGCTCCTTGGTGATCTTCATGTGGCATGGCATCTATCTTCCTCCATCTCTGCCTGCTTAATCTGCTGCTTTTATATCTCAAAAAAGATTGACTCAATACACATCCCAAACTAATATTACCTCATTAGCATAACAAAGGGGAGAACACCCAAACCTGTTGCCATAGAGTCCATTCCAACTCATAGCTACCCTATAGGACAGAATAGAACTGCCCCATAGGATTTCCAGGGAGGGGCTGGTGGATTTGAACTGTTGACCTTTTGGTTAGCAGCTGAGCTCTTAACCACTGTGCCACCAGGGCTCCATAACCCATTCCCACATGAGATTATAACCACAGGTGTAGAGGTTAGGATTTACAACACATATTTTTTGGGGACACAATTCAATTCACAACAGCATGCTAACCATGAGTGTCAAAAAATAAGATTAATTCATCTAAGGACCAACTTTGAAGCAAGTGGAATTTTTATTTATTTTTTATTATTGTACTGTAGATGAAAGTTTACAGTACAAACTAGCTTCTCATTAAACAATTAGTGCACATATTGTTTTGTGACATTGGTTACCAACCCCACGACATGTCAACACTCTCACTTCTCTTGGGTTCCCTATCATCAGCTTTCCTGTCCCCTCCTACCTTCTAGTCCTTGCCCCTGGGCTGGTGTGCCCCTTTAGTCTCGTTTTGTTTTACGGGCCCATCCAATCCCTGGCTGAAGGGTGAACCTCAGGAGTGACTTCATTACTGTGCTATCCAGGGTCAATACTCTTGGAGTTTTCTCCAGTCTCTGTCAGGCCAGTTAAGTCTGGTCTTTTTTTGTGAGTTAGAATTTTGTTCTACATTTTTCTCCAGCTCTGTCCAGGACCCTCTATTATGATCCCTGTCAGAGCAGTCAATGGTGGCAGCCAGGCACCATTTAGTTGTGCTGGACTCAGTCTGGTTGAGGCTGTGGCAGTTGTGGTCCATTAGTTTTGTGAACTAATCTTTCCCTTGTGTCTTTAGTTTTCTTCATTCTCCCTTGCTCCCGAAGGGGTGAGACCAGTGGAGTCTCTTAGATGGCTGCTCCCAAGCTTTTAAGATCCCAGATGCTACTTACCAAAGTAGAATGTAGAACATTTTCTTTATAAACTATGTTATGCCAGTTGAGCTAGATGTTCCCCGAGACCATGGTCCCCATAGCCCTCAGCCCAGTAATTTGGTCCCTCAGGGAGTTTGGATGTATCTGTGGAGCTTCCATGACTTTGCCTTGGTCAAATTGTGCTGGCTTCCCCAGTATTGTGTACTTTCTTACCCTTCACCAAAGTTACCACTTATCTATTGTCTGGTTAGTATTTTTCCATCCCCACCCCTCCCTTCCCTCATAACCATCCACGATTGTTTCTTTTTGTATGTAAACTTTTTCATGAGTTTTTATAGTAGTGGTCTCATGCAATATTTGTTCTGCAAATGGAATTTTTAATTAAAGTTCTAATTACATTGATAGTGTAAATTTATTCAATGGGAATTCCAGGAAATTTTAGGGTTCCTTCTCTTTTTCTTTAGCAGATGCCACTCTGTGTTCCATCTCTCTAGGTTGCTGATTGGACTTTTACAAGAGTGCTCCAGTTTCAGTATGCCACAAACTCTTGATGATTCTCAGGCTTCTAGTTTGTGGCACTTTATTGCTGTGTCAGGGACTGAAGTTTATAGAGTTGGCTTTGCTGTTTGTCAGCAGGTGAAGTGGTTAAGTATGTGGTGAAGAGGAAAAGAGAAAAGTAAATGGGTAGAATCTTATGTGTGCTTTCCTGCCTCCTACTCAACTGTTGGGCATTGGTCAAAAGACACGATGGCACCTCCAGTGAGGTGAGCATGGTTGGCTTGGGCAGAGGAGACCGGGTGCCCTGCACTGCCACAGGGAGCCACCTGGGCCTCACACCTCTTACCTGTGCTCTCTTCTGTGAGACTAGACGTCGGCCTCAGCACCTCTAAGATTCTGTCCAGTTCTGACTGTGGCCACAGTCAACACTAACTGGTGACAGAGGATTTGCTTCCCTTACCCGCTGGGAAATCTTTGTTTCCTTCTGCAGAGAGGCCATTTTGATCACCATCCAAGCTTCCTTCCTGCAGAACCAAGCAGTTCCTGTCTTGATGGCTCATCAATACCTCCGTGCAGAAGTGGAGACGCAAGTCATAATTGCCGCGGCCATCCTGGCAGGCGTCTACATGCTGATTATATTTGAGGTGTGTTTGTGTCTGCTTTGCCCACAAGTAAGAACATTCTAATGTATTAGGCCCTGAGAGGGCTCAGTCCCAGCTACTTTATAAAAATGGAGAGTGTTACCACGTGTGGTGCGCATCCCCACTGTATGCAGAAAACTAGACTGTGTTGGAATTGGTTTTCTGAATCTTGGCAAGATGAGTTTCTGAGATATAAGGAGAAGCTTGCCTGAGAAGATTGAGTATGCGCATTATTCTCACCCTCACTCTGCCCCTCACTGGAACTATAACCTTGTTGGGACAAGATTTTAACCTCCCTAAAACTCAAGGTCTTCATCTATAAGATGAGCCCGTTAACGTGTCCCTACCTGCTTCTTTAGATGACAGCTATGACGGGGACTCGGGTGTTCTCAGGGCTGTGTGCATGGAAGGGTCATTTATTTGCTACTTTATCAAATCAGCTAATGAGCATTTTCACCAGTGGACTTACGTTCTATAAATTTGCTGTTTCTGGACAACTGTAAATGTGGGTGCATCTTAAAACAGTAAGAAGTATAGGCTCTGCCTGTGCTGGGCACTGTGGACTTAATTGTGAAATGGCACTTTACAGTAGCACATGCTGAGAAGCAGTGGCCCAGTAAGTCAAGCCTGGAAGGTCAGTGCCATGTGACTGAGGTAGGTATGAGCAGTAGCTGGGAGTTGCTGAGGAGGTGGTGGCAGGAGGATAGGCCGGGAAATTTTAGAAATTTGCGTTCGGTTGTCTAGGTCTCCTGGCACGTGGGGAGGACAATACAGTGATTCTCAGGGGACGGGAGATTATGTGTGCCTGCTCCCCAAGAACCTTCCTGCCTTCAGTCAGAGAGACTGCCCAGGGCCAACAGTCCCCAAGCACAGCAGTCAGTGGGGTAAGCCTGCTGTTGTACCAGTGATCTGGCCACAAGGAGATGGTAAGCACTGGTGGACTGAGACCATTTGTTACTATTGCTGAGATAGCACAACAAAGTCAGCACGGTGCCTGCTCCACATCCCACAGGTGGCGCTGACCCCCAGGGCCAGGTGACAGTGGCCCGAGTGTTGGGTGCTCTGCAGTGGAGTTTCCACGAGGCAACTGATCTGCTTTATAGCCTGCGGTTGCACTTGAAGGGACAAGGTATAAAGGCCTCTGCCTTCCTGGGAGCAGGGAGGTGGGTGAGAAACTGCCTTGGGGCAGTGTCTACAACTCAGGGAGCCCCTGCAGGATAGAGCAGCGGGAAGGAGTGACCTGTGGTGGGGTAGGGACAACGGTGCCTGCGTGGCCTGTGCAGATATGAGCAAGGGGGCCAAGGGGACAGGGTGCAGCTGCCCTGCAGACATGTGGCCTTGAATGGGCCCCCTGCTGCTCCGCTCATGCTCTTCCTCAGAGGCTTCAGGTTTGACATGGGATGAGGGCAGTGGGGCCTGTGACCCAGCTCTTCCTGAGAGAGCCACAGGGCAGAGTAGGACAGGAACAGTGGTTAATGTCACACAGCTTTGAGGATGAGAGAGCAAGTGCCTCTTCCCTCCTCTTGGTCTGGCCTTTGCTGTTTGTTAGCCCACCGCTCATCCCCATGGCAGGACAGTGCTGCAACAAGCCAGCTGCACTCTCTGGGAAGGATTGGAGGGTGCCCACCCCACCATGATCAGAGTGTGGGCCCAACTTGATCCAGAGCAAATGGCTCTGGCCCCAGGGCTGAGGCTTCTGTGGAACCTGGTCATGAATCAACTTGTCAAGACACAAGCTGGCCACAAGGAAAGTAGTGATGGTTCCAGAGTTAACGTGAGTCCTTGAGCTGATGTCTGGAGTGTGGCCCGTTCTCCTAAGGGACCAAATGTAGGAGCACCCTCAGATGTTTCTGCGCTGTGCATGCTGGAAGAGTGCCTCCTGCCTCTGGGTGGGTGTTCTTCCCCTCGATGTTAACCAATTACAATCAAAAGAGATAAAGGTGGGAAACTTATCACAAGTTCTTCAAGTCCTACTGCCTGGTACTGGCTCATCCATCCAGATGCTCTGCCTCTTCAGCTTTTTTCCTCAATGATTTCTTTGTAATGTTCAAAGGCCAGGGCTTCCCCTCTCTCTCACCTTTGATCATGGGTACCCCGCCCTCTGAGACACAAGCCAGGGTTGAGGTAATGGCCTCAAAATCCCAACCAAAGGCTCTCAGGTGGGCTTGACTGTTTGTATTTTGTGTGCTTACATGCTGTGGCCTTGCCTGAGCTGCCTGTTGCCCAGGGGAGCTGCATCCATGGCTGGCCTGGGGCCTCAGAGCAGAGGTGGCAGCTCTTTGGAGGGGAGGAGGGTCCCCAGGTAGTTGAAGCCTGAATTTAAACCCTGGTGCAGCACTTACCAGCTGGTGGCTGTTAGCATGTTAGTCACCGTCCCTATGTCTTGGTTTCCTTGCATGCAGGAAGAGACTGGCAAGCTGATTGGGTGTGGGAGGCATCTGGTGTGGCCACCATGCAGACCAGCCAGCCTGGGAACGCCGGAATCTGCCCAATGTACGAGGCCCAGTGCATGAGGCCCACAGGTGTTGAGGGACACTGGGGTGCCAAGGTAACTGCTGGGACATGTCTAAGTCACGGAAGCTTCCGCTCTCATTGGCTTGTGGATCGGCTTGAACGTGGCTGAGGGCTAATGGGGGCCACTCTTCTTACGAGGACTTACTGGTCAGGATTGTCTGTGTGAGGGCACCCCGTCAGCTGAGGCCCTGGTGTGCCATGAAGACTCAGGAGCTCCTTTGTTCTGAGTCTGACCCACCTCCACTGGATGGTGGAGGAAAGAGGGTCAGGACTTTTCCTCCCCAGTGTCTGGTTCAGTGCAGTTTTTATGGTTCTTCTTATTACTTGACTTCATACCTCCTTAGTGTGTATTGAATTTCTTTCCATTTTTATGGGGAAGAATACTAATTATATACAATGCCTTAAAATATGAACACACATGCTTTTATATACTTTTTAAAAAATTTTTTTTATTGTTGTAATTAAATGAAGTTTACATTTCAAGTTAGTCTCCCATACAGAATTTATTTATTTTTTACATACGTTGTTATGAGACCCCAACCGCTCACCCCATTCTGCGACAGCACACTCCTCCCCTCCGCCCCTGATTCCCCATAAACATTCAACCAGCTCCTAACTCTCTCTGCCTTCCCATCTC